TCGATTTAGCGTCGACGTAGCGTCGGCTTAGCGTCGATTTAGCGTCGATTCAGCGTCGATTACCGTCGGCTAGCGTCGATTAGCGTCGATTCGCAAGAGCGGACAAGCTCGTATGTGAGGCCCCATGAGTTGCCACCGAAATTTCCCAGCCTCCAGCCGTGGAGAAGCCGAGAGGGGCGCCCGGGCTGTCGGAGTGCCGTCGCGCGGCGCCCCCCCGAGCTCCGGCTCTCCGCGCGCCAGGTCGCCAAGCTGAAGAACCTGGGCGTCGTCTCCATGGCGAGGCCGGCCGCCTCGAGCTGCGCCTCTGCCCGCGTCCTCCGCCCTGGGGGGGCGCGGGTCCCGAGGGCTAAAGGTCCCGAGATTTCTCGCCGTCTTCGGGCGCTCGGGGACCTCCCACGGGCCCTCCTGGGACTCCCAAGACGATCCAGGATGAAGAACTAGTCCTGGGGGAAGGCCCCAGGGTCCAGGACCCGGTTTCCCTCGTTCTGGGGGATGAAAAAAAACGATCCAGGATAAAAAACTCGTTCTGGGGGAAGGCCCCAGGGTCCAGGACCCGGTTTCCCTCAGGACCCGTTTCCCCCTTGCCAACGCGTCACATCGCAGTGTGCTTCTCGAGGTTCCGCTCGGCTGCCGTAGCCAGCGGCCTGAGGCGTGCCCCCAGCCAGGCTTCTGGGCATGGTGTGCTTTAGTTTGTTCGCTTTTTTGTTATTGTTGTTCTTCTTGTTGTTGTTGTTGTTGTTGTTGTTGTTGTTGTTGGTGGTGGTGGTGGTGGTGGTGGTGGTGTTGTTGTTTGTTTTGTTGGTGTTGCTGTTGTTGTTGCTGCTGTTGTTGTCGTCGTCGTTGTTGTTATGGTTGTTGTGTCTGGTTTGTGTTTGATTGTCTGTTTTGGTTGCTGCTCTGTTTCTCGGCTCTCTTGTGTTATGTTGCTGTTCGCTCTCTCTCTCTATATATATTTCTCTCGCCCTTTCTCTTTCCCCCTCTCTCGTTTATTCTTTCACACTGCAGGCCGAAACACATGGTCCATGCGAGCCGACTGGAAAGCTCCTGCGGTTCCCTATGTAGGCTTTAGCGTGGAGAGTTTTCGCACTTAGGTAGACGGGTGGGGATGGTGGTTAAAGGGTGGCCTCCTCCTTCTTGTCCTCCTCCTCCTCCTTCACTTTCACGCCTCGTTCTCGCCATCATGACACAGCCGCATCAAGCGAGGCACGTGGATGCAGTCCGATCGATCAACCGAGGTTCGGTCATGTATGCCCAGGTGCGTCTGGGCAATTCGTGTAAGGTCCAGCGCGGGTCGAGGGACAGCAGAAGTCGTTTGGCTTTCAACGGGTGGGCCCGCGGGGCTTTTCACCCCGTTCCCTCAGTGCCGCTTTTCCGCTCGAGTCCTCTTTTCGGCGGTCCACGGGCTGGAAGCCTTCCCGAGGGCCAAAACGGCGAGAGGCTGACCGTCTCGATTTAGTTCGGCCGCCGTATGGTGCGTTAGCCGTCATGCTCTCTTGACGAGACCGGCGACGCGCACAATGGGGTGGCGCGCGGGGGACGGCCTTGTAAGAAGGCGGGGGGCTTCTAAGAGGGCAAGTGGGGCTTCTTAGAAGCCCTCGCTTCTTCCAAGGAAGCTTCCCAGAAGCCTCTGGACCCTTTTTCAGAGACCCCCTGGTCAGGGCCGCTGTAACTAGGACCTTGCAAAGAAAAGGACTCTGCCAGATGCAGCGGGAGAGCACGAATAGTCGAAGCTTGGAAGACGCTTCGACCCGCGGCTGCTGCCTGCTCGGGCGCGCCACGGTCCTGGTTCAATGAAGGCTCCTGCTCGCGGGGCCGTGGCCTCAGGACGCCCCCGAGGCGGATCCAGTCGTTGGGTCGCTGCTCCGGCAGGGCAGCGGGAAGGGCGGCAGGGGGGCGGCAGGGAAGCGCGACCAGCGTGCGGGAGTGGCCAGGAGCGGAGCGAAGATCCCTCGAGCACAGAAATCCGTCGGGCCTGTGCAGATGGCCTGGCACGAGGTCAGGCCAGTAACCGGCACAGCCATCGGGCCGTCATGCACGAGCCAATTCGGCAACCAATGTTGGCCTGTCCAGTGGAGGCCCATGCCAAGAAACGCCCTGCTTGCCTCCAGGGTGCCCTGGGTTTCTTGGGTTTCGACGGTTTCGCTGCGGACGGCGTGACCATCCCTCCCACACCCAAAGATCCATGGACGTCCTGGGGGTCTCAGGGTTGGGCTGCTCGTGGAAGGCTTCTGGTGGACTGGCCTCCACTCTCACCCGCACAGTCAATGTTGGCCACGGTGGTGGTCCTGCACGTGGCCTGGCGCGCGCGGCGTACGCCCCCCCCCCCCCCCCCTCTCGCTGCACCGCTCGGGAGAGGGCGGCTGGCGCGCGCGGCGGGCACGCGGCGCCCTCTGGCTTCGGTCGAGGCCCCCGTCCGCAGCCGAAGCGCCGAGACGGAGGCCGCCCCGGGCTCCAGATGGGGCCGCGGCGCTCGGGCCCCAGACCCCAAGAGGAGCAACGAAGAAATCATGACGGGAGGTTTTTCGCCATTTTCGGCCTCGGGGGACACTGAGCCTCGGGACCGTCAAAAAACGACTCGGGATGACAAACCGGTCCCAGGGAATGGGTCTAGACCTCGGGGGGTCGACGTAATGACAAAATCATGACGTCGGAGGTCTGGGTTCTTCGGGAGTCAGGCAGTGGCGAAGCATCCGGACTCGCTTGCTCAGGCCCGCCAATGAGAGTTCTGGGAGCCCGTGGTGGTTTGCACGGGAGCCTCTCGGACCACCTCTGGCCGAGACCGCGTCTTATTATCATCCATCTCGGGCTTGTGCTCGAAGAACCATTGCTTGTGCAAGCAGGACCGTCACTGTTGCAGACGATTGCGTGGGAGGCTTACAGGAGCGTCGGCAAGGCCAGATCCCTGATCAAGGGAGCCAGATCGAGGAACCTGCGCGTGGCCGGCGCCCGCCCTGGCCAGAATAGCCGCTCCTCCATCCTGCCCCTGGGTCCGACTACGCGAAGACATGGGGAGCTCCAAAAAGGGCCTGGCCTTCGAGGATCGAAATAATTGTCATCTCTTCCTCGGCGGAAGGCGGCGGAAGGGCGGCGGAAGGTCGGCGGAAGTGAAGCGAGGCCGCCTCCGCCAGCGGGAGCCAGCGGAAGCTCGGCGAAAGGCGGCGGAAGTGAAATATGTGCCCCTATAGAAGATAAAAGCAATGTCGGGCTCGGGGTCTTCGAAATCACCCGAGTAGAATCATCGTCAGAAGTCACGACACGAGCCAGCTGGGCCCCTCCTTTTTGGTGGCGTTCTCCACGCAGCAGCGATCAGCGAGGGCCCCTTTTGCCCGAGGCCGTGCCAGAGCCCCCGGCCCGAACCAGTCGCGACACCAGGCCCTTGTGGCCATCTTCTCCCTCCCCCCCCCAAGAAGAACAAAAAAAATAAATAAAACACCAGGCCCTCGTGGCAGCACGGCGGCCGCACGCTGCGCTGCTCGGGGCGGCGTCGGCCCGAGGAGCGCCGGGAGGCCCCCGTGCCCGCGGGCCGCGGCCGGCCGGACCCGCAAGGGCCTACGACGAGCGGCAGGCGGCCACGGCGGCGGGCAATGACTCGCGCCCGCTGAGCCAGAAGGACGGGGCACTCGGCGTGGCCGTGGGCGGCGTCGCCCGCAGTGGTGGTCGTGGTCGTCCTAAGCAGAACAAGACATCGATGACAATGGTAGTCATGACAAGTCGCAGTAATAACACTGCTAAGAAGCATAAGAACAGTCATAAGAAGAAGACGAATGATATCAGCCAGCGCTGACTCCAAATCTATTCGACGACTCAGATCAAGGAGTCAGAGGAATCAAGCATGCTTGGAATCCGAAACTCAGCAAGCAAGCAGGCGTGCAAGCAAGCAAGCGAGCAAGCAAGCAAGCAAGCGTACCAGCGCGCAAGCAAGCAAGCAGGCATAGGCATAGGCGTAGGCATAGGACTTAAGGGGGAGGTATAGGCATAGGCATAGGCATAGCCATAGCAATTATGGGGGGGCATCGGAATTAGGGGGGCAACGGACCAATTAGTAAGGTTTGAGCTAGGACCCCCATAGGGCAACCCTATTTTGAGAATAATAGCAGACCTGCAGCAACAATCTTATCAGTAATAACAATACAATGGGAAGTATGAACATTAATACTAGCAGTAAACATAATATCAATACGACTGATGCGGATAATAATCATATTATGATACGAACAACCGCAATGATAGTACGAAGAAGGAGGATAATACAGAAACGTACACTTTCAACAAAGGTCCGCGCGGATTTCTGGGATCTGCGCTACCCCCCCATTGCGGCGCCTCTGGCGCCGCCGCGCGCAGGGTCCAAGAAAGTCGCGCGGACCTTCGAACGCTCATGCTTACTTATGTTGTTTTCTCGTTTTCTTACCGTAACTGTCGGTCGGGAAACCCAGAATGACGTAAACATGAACTTTCGGAGGTCCGCGCTGATTTCTCGGATCGGTGCTGGACCCCCCTCCTCGGCGCGCGGAGCGCGCCAGGGGCGGCGCCGGAGGCCCCGCCAGGGGGCTCCAGCGCCGATCCGAGAAATCCGCGCGGACCTCCGAAAATTTACGTGTCGCCGTGCACTTTATTCCGGCGCGCGGCCTTGCTTCTTGGGGAGGGCGCCGCGGCCACAAGGGCAAACGCCGCCTCGGGCCCAGGGTTTGCCGTGGGTTTGTCGTGGTGTCGGGGTCGTCCATGTGGGCTCACCGAGAACAAACGGCGCGGCGACATGTTTGTGTCATTGTGTGTTCCCCGAGTCGTCTCGGCTACACGTAAGAGTTACCCTCTGCTGGAGCGGCCTCTGGAGCGGGCCCAAGCTGGTCGAGAGCACGCGGGGGGGAGATGTTATCCTGAGGGTGAGGCTTCTCCTGTTCTCTCCTCCTCCTGCTCCTCCTCCTCCTCATCATCATCATCCTCCTTCCCCTCCCACTCTCCCTCCTGCTCCTCCCTCTCCCCCTCCTCTGAGGGATCATCACCGAGCCCGTTCCGCTAATTACCTTCAAAGTGCCTAGTCGCAAACGTTTGAAGCAAATACGTGCTTGCGTCGATGTTATGGATCGTGAATTCCCCGCGGCGGATCCAGGCCATTTGCGAGCGGCTCCTTTACCAGAAGTGGAACGCGCTTGTTTCACTTGAGCGCAGCCGCGAGCTGGCGGTCCCTTTCTCCAGCCGTCCAGAGCGATTCTCCTCTGACCTCACCGCTGGCCTTACCCCATGTTTGTTCCCCGTATCCTAAGACGGGTTATTGTTATTACTTGGACACCTCCTACCCCTCATTCCTCTTCTTTTCCTCCTCCTCCTCGTCCTCCTTCTCATGCCTAGACTTACTCATACACAGACTTACTCATACACAGACTTAGGTACTCATACTCAGACCTGATCATATTAACTTACTCATACTCAGACCTACTCATACTCAGACATACTCATGCTGAGACTCATTCATACCCAGACTTACTCATACTCAGACCTTCTCATTGTCTGGCTTACTCAACACACAGCAGATTGTGAGGATGTCTCAGGCGGGGCGCTGTTTTCAGCAATACTAAGGGGCGCCGCCGAGGGGTATTGCACGGTCCCGTTCGCGGCCGTTTCGTGGGGAAAACTCAAACGGTTTGCTTGTTTTCTGTCTCAACGTCCTTCGCTTGGAGAGCAGATTGCGAGGATGTCTCAGGCGGGACGCTGGTTTCAGCTTCTAAGGGGAGCCGCCAAGGGTGCTTTCACGGCTTCGTTCGTCGCCGTTTTGTTGGGATGTCTCTAACGGTTTGCCTGTTTTCTGCTTTTGCGTTGTGTCCCGAGTGGCTCTCCCCGTTGCGTACGGCGGTCAAGAAGGAGTGACCAGGTGTTGCTGGCGCAGAGCTTGTGTCACCGTGGGATGTTGCTTTCTCTCTCCGTGGTGCTTTTCAATCTTGTCGTCGCCAGCGAGAGAGAGAACTTGAGAAGGTTCATTCTTCCGCGTGCGTTTTGGGCTGGGGAGGGAACTTGAAAAGGTTCACTGCCTAGCTGCGGGACAGGGAACTTGAAAATATTCACTTTCCCGCTTGTGGCTCATATGGCTCATATGGCTAGACGCTCATTTAAATATCCCAAATACAACATTTCCATTTAAAGAGGATGCACATATGGGGAGCTCCACGCAGTGAGTAATGACCCTTCGGGCAGGGCCCTCCCGCGAACGTTTGGCCGGCGCGCGCTTAAATTTGCCCCCCGGCGGCCTTCTAAAGCTGCGCACCACAGCTCATTCTTGCCTAGGGACACTCCTGCTGGTGGCCGATCATCGACGTTGACGGTGCAGCCGCCGTCGCAGTCGAGGTCATCGTGGCCGCCGCCGCCGCCGTCGCCGTCGCCGTCGCCGTTGCCGTCGCCGTCGCCGTCGCCGTCTCCGTCGTCGTCATCATCGTCGCCGTCGCTGTCATCGTCGTCGTTGCTGTCGTCGTCGTCGGGGGGTCCCAGAGGTCTACAGAGGGTTTTCAGAGGCTTTGGTAGTTTTCGGGATATGCTCTTTACCCGAGGGTACCCTCACAGGAGGGCTCCGGAAGTTCTCGGAGGTCTTCTGTTTCTTGAGGGTCTCGTTATTGGTTTTGGCAGGTTTCATCATTGGCTAACATAGGTCATGGTACTGAATGAATGCGCATTTCAAAACACAATATTGAAAAAGTGATGCTTCACGAAAGCGAGAAACGGATTTATTAAATTGCGCCGCCTAATCAAGACAATACGAAACATCATTTAGTACACGCAAGAACCGGTTTACTCTATTCAAAACGATCATGTCTGGAGTTCTCTAGAAGCCGTCGGAGGCTCTTCAATTGGCTCCAGCGGTTAATGATTATACGTTTCGTTGCGCACCCTGATCGCTCCTCTCTTTTGTGGAGACGACGCAAAGCCTAGCACTCTTATCCTTGCCCTACTCGTCGGATCTGACTGTGCAAGACTAGCTCGTCAGGCTGGCCCTTGGAGCGAGAGCCTGCATCAACCCCACGCGAGGAGATCCTGAAGCACTTGGAGTCGTTCGGCCTCAACGAGGACCAGGCTGGGGGGCGGAAGAGTGCTGATCCTCTCCTCCCCCGATTGCCTCCTCTCCTCTCCTCCCTCTTCGTGGGGTGACTCCACGGGCGTGGAGTGAATGACTGAGACTCCTCCCGACCCCCACCCGCGAAGGACTCCACACCTGCTTCGTGCCCGCATTTTTCAACCGCGTGTTTTTACAGCCCCGTGGCCGCGTGACCCTGTGGCCCTGCAGGGCTGGACCTGAACGGTGCTTTGGCGATTTCGTGGGCCGTTTTCGTTTCGACTTCGTTTTGCGGCAAAGGCGGGTGGAAGACAAAACGAGGGAAAACGAAAACAACACCAAAACGAAAGAACACCGTTTAGATTCAGCCCTGTGGCCCTGGCCAGCTCACAGGCACTATTTGCGTTACTAGTGACCCTGGACTGCGCTCCAGGTTTGCCTGCGGTTCGCGCTCGGGCCTCCCGTCCTGCACAGTGCATCGTGCTCTGTGCTGGGTTGACGGGCCTTCCGCGCAGCCAGGGTCCGCCGCGGCCTCGCTGGGGAGGAGGAGGAGGAGGAGGAGGAGGAGGAGGAGGAGGAGGGGAGGAGGAGGAGGAGGAGGAGGAAAGGAGGAGGAGGAGGATAAGGAGGAGGATGAGGTAGCAGGAGGAGGAGGAGGAGGAGGAGGAGGAGGAGGAGGAGGAGGAGGAGGAGGAGGAGGAGGAGGAGGAGGAGCTGGTCAGGTCCGTCCCGGGGCGTGAACCCGTGCGCTGTTTCCTGGCGTGGCCAGCGGCCAGGCGAGACACCATGGACTGGTCCAATCAGCCCCGCCCGGCGGCCCGCCAAGAAGCTTGCGACACGCAGTGTCCAGCTTCTTCCTGTCGGCTGCGTAAACCACGCGGTGTGCGGAGTCAGACGTAGCAATAGCCTGTAGGCCAAGCCTATCAGCCGTGTCTTGCCCAGGACGTGGGCTCTGGCGAGCGAATCTCTCGACCCCACCACCCAGGCCCCGCTCCTGGAGCCTGGGATTGTCTCGTGATGGCCCCCGAAGCCCCACAAAGCAACCCCCGGGACGCCGTCATCGAGAGCAGGCCGACATAGGAGGATCATGAATCACTCCGGAGCGTGCTGGGATGCTCCCAGACCTCCTCGCGTTGTGAGAAAATTGCGACGGGAGGTTTTTCTCGATTTTCGGCCTTTGGGGGCCCTGGACCTCGGGGCTGTCCAAAAACGACTCAGGATGAAAAGCTGGTCCCCAGGAAGGGGTCCAGACTTCTGGCGGTCAACGTTGTTCCAGGCATCTTAGATGGGGTCCGAGTAGATGAGGTCGGAGGATCGCGCCGCATCGCCGATGCATCGAGGATGCGGCTCGATGCGGAGCCCGCTTTTCTCCACGCCGACGTCGCCGATGTGTCGCCGACGTCGGCGATGCATCGACGATGCATCGCCGATGCATCGGCGATGCGGTGCGATCCTCCGACCCCATCTACTCCGACCCATCTAAGAGGCCTCTAGTTGTGAAAAAATCACGGCGTCGGGGGTCTGGGGTCTCAGAGCGTTCCCGAACCGGCCACAGTGCCCGAATTGCCTTCTCCAGGCCCGCCGGCTGGCGGAGATTCCCCGCCTGCCTCCAGACACTTCCTCCTCCTCCTCCTGCCTCCGTCTTAGGTGCAGCGCCCGTCGTTCTTGCTCCCCCCTCCCGAGGCGCCTGGAGGTAGGTAGTTAGGTGTATGGCCGGTGCCGTCCCGGAGGCCGCTGGAGATCTTCGAGGAGGTCTTTGCGGGGGTCCCATGCGGCCTGCAGGGGGGGGTCCTCCCAGAGATCCATGGCGGCCAGATGCCTCCGGAGGCCTCCGTGGGGGTCCTCCCAAGCAAGATCGATAAGGATCCTCGGTCCTCCGTCGCCGGTGCTCGATCCCCGGCCAGCAGCAGGTGCTCAACCAGCACATCGGCAGCTTCTCCGCGGGCCAGAAGTCGAAGCTCACGCTCGGCGCAGCCTTCTGGACCAAGGCTGGCGCCGGGAGCGGGCGAGGGGAGATCGGGGGCCCCCGGAGGGAGGGAGGGAGGTAGGGAGGCAGAGCAGGAGGGAGGGTGAGGAGGGAGGGTGAGGTCAGAGGAGGATTTTTTTTTTTGTTTGCTGTGGACCTCTGCCCGTCAAGCTTCCGAAGAGATTACCGAGCAGGAAAAAGGCGGGCACACGAGGCCCTACTTGAAGATGGAGCCCTGGTGGAACAAGTACCCCAGGGAGAACTTGATATGAAGACCCCTGAGGCGATAACAAACACGAAGTTCAGACAATACGGCCGGCCCTTCACGAAGAGCTCGCACTTGTCTGCACCATCAGAGCCCTCGCCTGCTTGTCCACCTCTGCAGGAGAGAGCTCGCCTTTGCCGACCTTCTGCAGCAACTTCTCGGCCTCCTCGGCATTGGAGCCGAAGATGTTGGCCATGATCTCCATGTGGTTTAACGGCTGCGCATTGCCAGTCGCCTCGTCCAGAGTAGCCCCGCCATCGCCAGAAACAGCGCATTCAGGTACTTCTTCTGGGCTCTGCGTTCCAGTAGTGCCACCAGCCGCCCCACCTCCATCAGGCTCATCTGGTACAAGCGCCCCGACGCTGCCAGCTCCAACGGCTCCGCCACCGTCATCACCTCGAGCGCCGTGCTCTTGCTGAAAATCAAATGCGTGAGCCCTGCATTCGCCAGCAGTCACTGGCGCCCTCAGGGTCTTCTCCAAAAGGTAAACCTCCTTCTCCTCCTTAATGCGTTCCTGCTTCTTCTCCTTCTTCTGCAAACGCTCGAATCTCTTCTTGGCCTTGTGAGCCGCCGCCGCGTCAGCCTCGCCGATGAAGAAGTGCGAGGGGCCCCCCATGGCGGAGGAGGAGGCGGCCTCGGACATTTGCTCCTTATCGGCGGTGTCGGGACAGGCGCCCTTGGCGGCGGCGGCGGAGGCGTCGAAGACGAAGTTAGAGGGCTCGGAGCCGCTGGAGTCGTCGGCCCAGCTGCGAGCTGCGCCAAGACCATCCTCTCCAGATACGGATCCTTCGGCACGTCGAAGACCCCCGGCGGCGGAGGCATCGGAGCCCCGGGCCTCGCGATCTTCTCCGTGGCGTGAGCCTGCAGGGCCTTCCGCTCCGGGTGCATGTTGATGCGCATCTGCGAGTTGATGTTCCCCTTGAACCTGAACCTCTTCCTCTTGCGGCGCCCCTGAAAGCCCTGAGATACTCCACCCGGGGCAGGCGTTGAGGAAGCAGGGCATGGCGGCGGCGGCGGAATAGTACCCGGAGCCGTTCCCGAAGGCGAGGATGCCACTCCATGTGCCAGGGGCGACTGCGGGGGGGCCGGTGGGCGCAAGACCTTGCGCACACCATGCGCGGTCTGCACCAACATGGACTCCCGCCCCCGCAAGCAGGCAGTTGTAACTGGAGGCCCTGATGACAATGACGTCGCCATCGAAGGGGGCGACGCGACCTAAGAGCTCGCTGGTCAGCAGGTCCTCGGGGATGAAGATGCGCATGCACGGCGCAGCAGCGCCAGGAGCGGAAGATAGACCAGCTTCACGATGTAGAGACCGGTCAGCGCAGCATCCCTGGCGTTCGCAAGGCCCGACGCGGGCCCCACGCTCAAGCAGCAGGCAAAGGCCCGTCAGCCCCAGGGGCTCGGGCTCAACTTGAGCCCGAGCGGCTTGAGTGAGGTCAGAGGAGGAGGGAGGGAGAGGAGGAGGGAGAGGAGGAGGAGGAGGAGGAGGAGGAGGACGAGGAGGAGGAGGAGGAGGAGGAGGAGGAGGAGGGAGGAGGAGGAGGAGGAGGAGGAGGAGGAGGAGGAGGAGGAGGAGGAGGAGGAGGAGGAGGAGGAGGAGGAGGAGGAGGAGGAGGAGGAGGAGGAGGAGGAGGAGGTGAGGAGGAGGAGGAGGAGGAGGAGGAGGAGAGGAGGAGGAGGAGGAGGAGGAAGAGGAGGAGGAGGAGGAGGAGGAGGAGGAGGAGGAGAAGGAGGAGGAGGAGGAGGAGGAGGGAGAGGAGGAGAGAGGGAGGCACAGAAGCAGATCAGGAGGGAGGGGGGGGGTCAGAGGAGGAAAAGGTAGTGACCCATCCCGCTGCTCTTCGCCCGTTGCCTCTTTCTGGGCCTCTTGGGAGGCTCTCGTCGCCACCGCTGGATTCGCCTCGATATTCTTCTGGTCAGAACGCACCCCTGGAGAGGTCCGGCGAGTAGCGGTATCGATACCTCTTGGCGGCTTCCCCAAACAAGAGGAGGATCACGATGAGGAGGGGCACAGTTGCGATGGCCAGCCCGTCGGGGCCATGGATCCTGTCCGGAATGCAGCTGAGGTTGGCCACTATGAGAACGATCGGCGGGACAAGTCCGGCAGTTTGTTGCTTTAGTTTCCCCGTTTCGGTGTCTCCGGCGCCGCCCCTGGCGCTCTCCGCGCGCCAAGGAGGGGGGCCCATCGCGGATCCAAGAAGAAATCCGCGCGGAGCGCCAAAAGTTTATGTTTATGGCGTTTTCTCTTCCCTTGATGCTGCCGTGCAGTAAGGGCATCCAGTTGCTCCTGCACGCCCTCCTGGTCGGTGTCAGTCGCCCGCTGTCAATCTGGCCAGGGTGAGGAGCGCACGCCTCCCAGCCGTCCTCCCGGATGGTGTGGCCGCCTCTGGAATTGGGCGTCGCCTCCTCCTCCTCCTCCTCCTGCAACCAGAAGGTCTGTCTCTACACTGCCCCCACGCTGAACGTCACGTGGAACGCGAGCAAGATGTAGGGCTCTTTCACCACCGCTGGAGGCCCGCGGGGGCAGCGAGCGCTGCAGACAAGAAGCCCTCTAGGGCCCTTGACGGGGCCCCTCCGGGCCCAGAAGGAGGCCTCCAGGCCCCGAAGAGTGCACCCTTATCCCCCCCCCCATTCCCCGCCCCCCCCCATCAAAGCACTCAGAAGGGAGAGCTGGAGCCCCAGAACTGTTGACGCCTCACGTGCGCTCCCTTCCCCGGGCCTCCCGCCAGGCTCCCGCGGGCGGAGGCGCCGCCACCTCTGCCTCCGCCGGCCTCCATTGGCCTTCCTCGCTGGCCTCCCCCCCCGACGCAGGAGAGGAACAGAGGAAGGCAACTCCTCGGCCCTCGACTGAGGGCCGGAGGCCCTATCCCGGAGCGCGAGCCGCGTGGCCCCGCGGCGCGGCGTGGCTTCTTCAGGCCAGTGCAGTCGATGGTGACACCCTTGGCCTGGTTCTGCTGCTGGGCGCTGCCCATCAGGGTCGTCGTCTTCTTATCCATGGTCTTGCCGATTGTCGTAGCGCCGAAGAGGAGAACGTTCGCCATGGTTGCCATGAGTTGGCCAAATGCTTGAGCGTTCCCGGGCCCTTCCTGGTTCACGTTCGCGACGCGCGGTCGCCCTGGCGCCTTCGTGCCCCTCCCCCCGGGGGACGCGCGCGAGGCGCGGCCGTCTTCGCGCCCGTGGGGGGCAGCTCGGCGAGTCCTGCAGAGTTCTCCTGGAGTTAAGTCGGGCACGCCCCTCTACAGGAGGAGTATTCGGGAATAGTCCAGAGACAGCCTGTTGAAGAGTTCTCGCGCCTTCGTCACTGTTTTCGATGATTTCTGGGCGGGGCTCCATTTTTCTCTCCCACAGTCCGCCTGCAGGAGGACCTGCCCGACCCCATCCTGGAGGCCTCTCTCTGTCTTCGGGCCCCCGCGGTGCTGCCCCGGGCCGCTCACCGCTCCGGTCGCGCGCCCCCCCTCGCGCGAGCTCGCCCCCGGGTCGAGGCGCAGGCGGGCCGCGCGCCGGCCATCGGACGAGCTGGGTGGCCCCCCTCCCCCCCCCCCACCACTCCTCCAGGCCTGCCTCCTGGTAGCTCGCTCTCCCGCCTCCTCCTCCCTCTCCTCCTTCTCGTCGTCCTCCTCCTCCTCGTCCTCCTCCGCCTCCTCCTCCGCTTCCTCCTCCTCGTCCTCCTCCGTGCAGTCACTTTTGCATGACTCCTCCCTGTCGCACCCCCACGCGTGTCGGTAGGGCGGGCCGATGATACTGGAATTTGAAAGTTGCACCGATTGCGCGGAATCAGTTTTCAAAACGGGACCCGCGCTTCAGCGCCGGGCGCATTCGTCTCATTCGTCTCAAAGCTTGCTGCAGCTACACTGATTGTTTTGGGTCAAATGGGAGTTCTCGCTTTGGCGCCGCGCACATCGTTTTTGAGTTGGTGTCAGCTTCAAGGGTGCACTTTGCTGCCTTTTGGAAATTAGCGCCGCGCACATTCGCCTCAAACGTTTGCAACAACTTCAAGGATTGAGGACGCTTCCATTTCAAGCTGAGATTCTCGCTTGCAGATATTTGAACTCAAAATTCACGTCAACATATGTAGTCGCGTCGCGGATGGAAGGCGTTTTCTTTTCAACACGTGGGTATCGCTTGAGATTTCCTTGACGGTCGGTCATGGCCATAAGTGCAAACCTGCGCAAAAGTTCACAGGTGGGGCGGACCTTTTCAACGGGGTTCTCGTTGGACAACGCGTTAATCGATATGATTATACCGCGTCGCATTCAATACTACTCGCTAGATGAAGCCACGGCAGTTTTCGTTCAAAACGGTGCTTTCGTTTGCATGGCAGGCCCATGCGGTACTGGTCTTTCGAGGGAACGCTTCTCTCAGTGGAGAGAGGGCCCGTGAGAACTTTGAGGGGAGGACTTGCGACGGGAGTGTGTACAGCAACATCATTGGTTCATCTTGCTTAGGGTTACGTTGGTCTTCCTCTTCCCACCTCCTCCTCCGTCTACCCCCCCTCGCCTCGGTCCCTCCCCAACCCCCATCCACACTTTTTCACCTGCGCCTTCTCCTCCCTCCCGCCCCCTTGGGTGCCTCCTCGGTCCTCCCTTTTCTCCCTCCCCCAACCTCCCTCCTCTCTTCCTCTCTCCCTCCTTCGTCATCCCCCCTCCCCCCCCGAGCCACCCTTCATTCTCAAAATCTGCCTGGATCTTTTCAAGTCCACGGGTTTCAATCGATCCCCACGGGCACCCAACTTCCTCATTCCCACCCCCTCCGCCCCCGCGCATCCCGCCGCATCTATGCCCCCCTCCTCCTCCCTCCCCCTGCCTCGTCCGCTCTCGCTTCCTCCTCTCCTTTTCCCTCCTCCCTGGTCGTCGTCGCTGCCGTCGTCCTCGTGGCTGCGTGAGCGCCTAGGTGGCAGTACCAGCTTCCTGCAGTTTCTCGCTCCGCGCCTTGCCGTCTCGCCCCCGCTGGCGGGTGCCGCGCCCGCCTGCGTGGAAGCTGCCTATGCCGAGCAGCACCGCCGCCGCTGCCGAGCACCGCCGCCGCCCCGCCGAGCCCCACGTGGTGGCCCTCGACGAGCCGACCAACTACATAGACATGGAGACCCTGGACGCGCTGGCCAAGGCCGCCCCCCCCCCCCTGGAGAGGGTAGAAGGAGGAAGGGAGGAGGGGGGGGGAGGGGGGAGTGAGTGGAGGAGGAGGAGGAGGCGGAGGAGGAGGAGGAGGAGGAGGAGGAGGAGGAGGAGGAGGTGGAGGAGGGGAGGAGGAGGAGGAGGAGGAGGAGGAGGAGGAGGAGGAGGAGGAGGAGGAGGAGGAGGAGGAGGGGGAGGAGGGCAGGAGGAGGAGGGGGGAGGAGGAGGAGCAGGAGGAGGAGCAGGAGGAGGAGGAGGAGGAAGAGGAGGAGGAGGAGGAGGAGGAGGAGGAGGAGGAGGAGGAGGAGGAGGAGGAGGAGGAGGGAGACGACGCCGCGCGCTGGAAGCGGGCCTCGGGCCGCTGCCCCCCCTGGGAGGGTTGCGACGGGCCCGCCTCTCTTGGCGTGCCACGGCCGCTGGAAGCCGCTTCCTGGCCCCGGGACCGTTCGGAGGCGGCTCGGTCGGGCGGGCGGAAATGGGGGGTGACCCAAATGGGGCGTGAAGAAAAGGGCCCAAAAGGGGCGCATTGGGCCCTTTTTGGAGCCAGTTGGTGCCCAAAAGGGACCTTTTCTTCACCCCCCATTGGGGTCACCCCCCATTGCCGCCCGCCCGACTCGGGATGAGGAGCCAGCCACTCTAGGCCTCCCAGAGGGGGTCGGAGTTTAGATGCGGTCAGAGGATCGTGCCGCGTCGCCAGTGCAGCGCCGATGCGGCTCGAGGTGAGGCTCGACTTGCTTCGTGTCGACGTCGCCGATGCATCGCCCACGTCGACGATGCACCGCCGGTGCATCGCCGATGCATCTCCGATGTATCGGCGATGCGGCGCGATCCTCCGACCCCATCTACTCGGACCCGTCTAGGAGGCCTCTGGCCACGGGGGAACATACGGCGACGATCGATTTGTACGTTTGGGCCAGATCTGTGGGCTTGGGTGGCCCCTCAGGTCCAGGCAGCGCATCAGAGGTCGTGACGGCGACTCGATCAGGACGGGAAGCTGGTCCCCGGGAAGACGGTCGGGCTTCGGGGGGTCCACGTCTCGGGGGCGTCCCATGGGGTGGTATAGATGTCGTGGCCGGGGCCAGCATCTCTCCTAGATCTCTTGGCCCCCTCTGCTTCTCTCCACGCGTCCCCCTCGGCCGCGCATGGTTTCAAGGGCCGATGGCGTCCGGAGTGTAAACTGTCACGGGACAGATCAACGTTTGACATTCTGCGCGCATAGGCAAACAGCACGCGGAGGGGGGCAGGGCCACTGCCCAGCCACCTTGAGGTGCTGGTGTCGCATCTTTTTCGAGCCGGGCCTCGTCGCCAGGTTTCGGCAGATGGACGCTGCGGAGCGACACTCCAGTGATACGAGCAGCGCTCGTGGCCAGGGCAGTCCTCGTGAGGAGGAGGAGGAGTAGGAGGGGGAGGAGGAGGAGGAGGAGGAGGAGGAGGAGGAGGAGGAGGAGGAGGAGGAGGAGGACGATTGGACGCTGAGTGGGAAAGAATACCCCGGGGCTTTCCCTGGGACCAGTTCGCCATCCCGAGCCGTTCTCTGGGCGTTCGTGGGCCTTCCGGGACCTCGGGGCCTCGCCAAGGGTTTCTGGGAGAGGAGGAGGAGGAGGAGGAGGAGGAGGAGGAGGAGGAGGAGGGGGAGGAGGAGGGCTGGGCAGGTCGGAGGCCTCCGCCGACACTGCCGTAGGAAGGTGCCCGGGGCTGGAAGGTGCCCGGACCCCCTCGAGTAGTGACAAAAATCACGACGGGAGGTGTTTCACCGTTTTCGGCCTCTGGGGGCCCTTCTCGGTCCTCGGGACCGTCAAAGAACGACTCAGGATGAAAAACGGGTCCCGGGGAGTAGGTCGAAACCTCCGAGGGTCGACGTCATGAACAAAAACATGACGTCGGGGATCTGGGTGCGGGCCGTGTCGGGTTTGCAGCGCGCACTGACAGCACATTCCGACGATCCGACGCGGCCCGCTGTGCATTCTGGCGCGGCCGATCCGATTCGATTTCGACTCTGTGCCGATGCAGCCCGATCCGACGCACATTTCTAGTCGATTCGGTTTCCCGATTCGATGCTGACTGATCCTGCCCCAGCGCGTGCTTTCAATTGCACACGCCGGCAGTGGCCCAGAAGCGGTCGATGTCGAACGATCCGCGCTGTCCAAAAGCCGCAGTCGTTCAAGGCCGAACGATCCACGCGGTGGCAGAGACCAGCGCACGAGTTGTCACGGCACGAGCCTGCTTTGCGCGGCTGAGCCTGAGAGGGGGGTCCTGGCATGCGGTCGTGAGGATGATGTGAATTGCCCGCTTGGCGAGGACGGAGCTCGCCGAGGGCCCCTTCCCACCCTTGGGACCTGGGCCGCACGCCGCTGCATTCGGTAGCAAATCATGGGCGCCTGGTATACACTCTTAATTCCGTCGATCAGCGTCGGTTAGCGTCTGGGAGTCGATGATATGTGCCGATGTTGCGTCGATTGGCGTCGGTTTAGCGTCGATCAGCGTCGATTTAGCGTCGACTGACGTCGATTCGCAGGAGCCGACAAGATGGTACGGGAGGCCCCCATGAGATGCCACCGAAGTCGTAAGGATAATGTGAATCGCCCGCTCGGCGAGGACGGAGCTCGCCAGGGGCCCCCTTCTCACCCCATGGGCCCTGGGCCGCGCGCCGCTGCATTCGGTTGCAAATCATGGCAGCGTGGTATACCTTCTTCATTCCGTCTTTAGCGTCGACTAGCGTCGACTAGCGTCGATTAGCGTCTGGGAGGCGATGAGATGTGCCGATTTGGCGTCTGCTAGCGTCGATTAGCGTCGATCTAGCGTCGATGAGCGTCGTCGATTTAGCGTCGACGAGCGTCGATTCGCAGGAGCCGACAAGATGGTATGAGAGGCTCCCATGAGTTGCCGCCGAACGCTGCAGCCGCGGCCCGCCTGGCAGCCCAAGGCCCTGTCCTCCTCCTCCCTCCTCCTCCTCCTCCGCCTCCTCCTTCTCCTCCTCCTCTTCGTCCTCCTCCTCCTCCTCTTGCTCCTGCCGTGGTGAATGTATTGCTTGGCCGCCGAGGCCGTTCATGCGGGTCTGTCGCGCAACAGTTTTTCAGACCAGGCGATGCTACGTTTTAGGGATAATTCGTATCCTTCGGCATCTGATTGCTATTTCGGACGTTTTGTAGCCGGCAGTCGGCTCGTGCTTGACGTTCGCTGTCTCGGCGCATTCTCCTAAGCGCTGGCGGGATCTGTCCCACATGCTCGGTGAGCAGGGAAACTGCATTCAGACGCAACCTTTTCGTTTCGCTCGCGCCGTACCTCGCATACCTCATACCGTTGCCTTCTGACCTATCCTTCGCCATGTGGCGGCTTCCCTTTTTAGGCGCCAGCTGTGGTAGCATCTTGTCCGCTCCCAGCCTCTCCCCCCCAAAAACGCCTGCCTTCGCAATGTTTTGTCGCCTTAGTCCTGGGAGTAGCTATGGCTTCGGTCAGTTCTCCAAGGCTTGTGTCCTGGTGTGGGCATCGAGGGTTGGTACCGCCGACGGCCCTCGGAAGGCCCTGCAGCGCTTCAAGGGCGGCATGGTGGTGATCTCGCACTCGAGCGATCCAGGGGGGGCCGTTCCGCCACAAGCCGCCGGAGAGCCCCTCGCCAGGATCGATCAGGGCCTCAGGGACCAAGGACACGGCGAAACAAGACTCTGACACGTTCGAGAAAGGTGCAGCCGTGGGTCGAAGCCTTATCAGTTCTTGGTTTTCTCCCGCCAGATCCTGCGAAGTCTGATTTTGCCAGAGCCAGCGGGGAGAGAACCAAGAAGGGAGAATGTTTCGACACACGGCTGCATGTTTCTCGAGCGTGCCGACTTCCTGGACTGTCAGGGTGTCAGTTCTATGGGACCCTGAATCGAGGATCGAGTTGTTCTGACATACTTTTGGGTGTTTGCCTCGCGTCGCGCTCGAACGGTCTCAGCGGCGCCTCCGTGACCTCCGAGGCAAGTGCCCTGCGCATCTCGGCATCCTGCTGCGTCTTCTCTGGCTGCGCCTCCGCCCCGGCATCGGCTGGGACTTCCAGGGTCTTGCGAGGAAAGGGAGGTGGGGAGAAGGGAGGGAGGTGGGTGAGGGGGTGTAGGACGGAGGAGCCAGGAGGTAGGAGGGAGAGAGGACGGAGGTGTCAGGAGGGGAGGAGGAGGCGGAAGAGGCGGAGTTGGCGGAGGAGGAGGAGGAGGAGGAGGAGGAGGAGGAGGAGGAGGAGGGAGGCAGGAGGTGGTCGGGCAGAGGGATGGGGGCAGGAGGCGGGCCCCGCTGCCGGGGCGCGCGGATTTTGTAGAGCGCGTCTGCACGGAGCAGTGGCTCGTGGAGGGGAACACCATCGCCTCGGTGACCCGCGCGCGGGAGGCACGGGGCATCGGCCGTGCGCGTTGGGAGTGGCCCCCTCTCCGGACGGGGCCGCTGATGCGCCGGCCCTTGCGGAAGGCGCGGGGGAGGCCCCCATCCTCAGAGGAGGGAGGCATGCCGATGCCGCTACCCTTCCCTCGTTTCTGCCTTGTCGGCCTCCCGGGAGGCCCTCGTCGCCACGGCTGGTTTCGCTTCGAGCCCCTCAGGAGAGGTCCACGGAGTAGCCTTATCGTACGTTTTCTTTTCCCCCTACGACCATGCCAGCCGAGCCGCTGCTGCCGCATCCTCGTGCGGCGATCGGCAAAAGGTCGCTGTTGCCTGGGGTGTCTCTTGCGTGTAGCCGTCGGGAGGAGGGTCGAATGCGGTCAATAAGCTGACAAATGAGATGCATCTTGGGTTCGGAGTGGGGCTCGCTGGTCCCTGTTCCTCCATCGCTCCTCGTGCACCCACACGCGCTCTTAGGAGAAGCATGGAGTTTCGCTCCTTGCTTAGCGCCCCTCAAGAATCATTGGACGTATAGTGAGGCAATTGTCTCACAACATCTTTTTGTCCTACTACTATTCAAACGGTGGCGGGCACGGCCCATGCGTCGGATGGTTCGATCAGACCGCTGGACTGATGAGTCACACATGTTTTTTTTGTCGGGGTCGACAGATAGCAGGCCGCGACGCAAGCGCAGTGCGCGCGTGCATGAGGAGCGTGGTGGGAGTGAGGGTGAGGAAAGACAGGGAGGGGGCCCTAGACGCACCAATGTCGCCCAGAGGGCGCGGATGTATCACAAACAAGAGGACATGTTGTGGCTTCAGCTCCAGAGAGCGCCTCTTGAGCCAGTTTGGGCTCGCCTGCGTTGTTTGGAAGCTGTGTTCAACCTTTCTTGCGGATGTGCATTTCTAAGAGGCGCCTCCTGAGCTGGCTTGGGCTTGCCTAAGCTGTGTGGGAGTTGCGCCCGACCCTTCCTGCTGATGTCGGTTGGTGTCAGCTCCCGAAAGCGCCTCATGAGCTTGAGCTGGCTTGAGCTCGCCTGCGCTGCCTCGAAGCTGCGCCCAAGCTTTCCCTTTGATTGTATGATCAGCTCCAGAGGGCGCTTCCTTAGCTGAATTAGGCTCGCCTGCGTTGCGCTCATTGTTTCTTGTTGGTGTTGGCTTCATCTCTGCAAGGCGCCTCCTGAGCTCTTGAGCTCGTCCGCGCTGTCTGAGAGCTGCGGCCGACCTGCTCCTTCTCGACGCAGGGCGGGGGGCTTCTGAAGGCAGGCGCGGGACCTTTAGCTGCGCTTGTCAGGCACGTTGTCCCCCAGCCACAAAAAAAATGGTTCGGGGGTGGACAGACCTCCTACCCTGACACATCGATTAGCGAATTGGCCGTTCTCGGTTCGCGCGAGGGCGTCACGGCCGTTATTTTTGCGGGTCCAGGTCCGTCGGTTTCGGTCCTAGGCCGTTTTCACTACAGGGAGGTTTACTACAGGGAGGTTTGTCCACCGCCGAATGGTACTTCATTGACTGTGGGGACAGGCTGACACACCTGAGCTCTCGGAGGTCCGCGCGCAGGTCCTGCTTCGGCGCTGAGGCCAGACCCCCCTCGGCGCCGCCCCCCGGCGCCGCCCACTGGCGCGCCCCATCCCTCCCCCCGGGGGGGGGGGGGCAGGTCCCCAGCGCCGACCCAGGAGAGCCCCGCCTAGACCTCCCGACGGTGTTGTGTGTTGGGCGGTGTTATTTCTTCCTGCCCGTGCAGCCGAGAGGATAGGGAGGAGGATGGGGGAGGAGGAGGAGGGGGGAGGATGGGGGAGGATGGGGGAGGAGGAGGAGGAGGAGGAGGAGGAGGAGGAGGAGGAGGAGGAGCAGGAGGAGGAGCAGGAGCAGGAGGAGGAGGGAATGCCTGGGAGGGCCTGGTCGTGCCCCCCCCGCGGCACTCCAGCGGCGTCGGGCGCAGGCGTGTCGAGCGAGGCGCGGAGACCTGCCGGCGCGCAGGCGCTCTGCGAGGCTGACAGCAGCGCCCGGGAGAGCGGTGGCCCCTCTGCGCCCGGGCGCCGCGGCAGGCCCACGCGGGGGGCCATCCCCGGCGCTGCTTCGGGGCCCCGGGACGCTCACGCCGCGAGCCGGGCCTCTGCGGGTCTGTTGGAGACGTCTTGGGGCTCTGGGTGCCGTCTCGGGGGCCCAGCGGGCCGCTCTGGGGCCGTCTTGGGAGGCTTCTCGGGCGATGTTGGTGCGACCATGTGGGGCTCTTGGGCCGTCTCGGGCCATCGGAAGGGTGAAAAGCAGCAGATGCCCAAATCCTTGAGCAACCTATGGGGGATCAGTGATTTGGGTCTCTTCGGGCCTTCCTGGAGGGTCTTTCTGGAGGTCTCTTGGGCCGTCTTGGAGGCCTCTTGGGTGCGTCTCGGAGCGTCTCGGGCCATCCTGGAGTCAGCCTGGACCGCCTTTTGGAGGTTTCCTGGGCCAAATCGGCGGCGTCTTGGACTCTCCTGGGCCGTCTTGGAGGCCATCTCGGAACATCTTGGACCATCCTGGGCGCACCTGGAGGCCATCTTGGGCCGTCTTGGAGGCCATCTTGAGACGACGGCTCCCGAAACGGGGCTGGGGCGGCGGGCGGATGGGCGGCGACGGCACCGGGTGGAGGCGTGGCAGACTGGACGCGATGCTCGTTGACACATTTCCGATAGGCCTTCACACACGAATCTCGTCCAGTCTCCTCCTCTCGCCCCCTCTGCCTTTTCTAGCTGCTTTCTGTCCTCCTCTCTGCTTCTCCTCTTCCTCTCCTCCTCGTTTCTATTATTGCTTGGCTTTCCTGTTCCCCCCTTTATTTCGTCCGCTTTTTTCCTGGTGTTCTTTCTCGTTCTCTCTCTTTTTTGTCTCCCTCTCTCTCTCTCTTTCTCTATTTTGTTATCTCTCTCTCTCTCTCGCTCACTCTCTCTCTCCGGATCTTCTCCTCTCGCCTCCTCTCCCGTTCTGGCTGCTCTGCTGCTCTCCGTGTTTCTCTCTGCGCTTCTTCTCCTGCTCCTCCACCTCTTCCTCCGTATCCTTCCTTCTCCTCTGGCCACTGTCCGGGCGGGGCCTCACGACATACCCCAGCGACGCAGATGGCGTTCAACAGCGCTCGGGCTCCGTCCCTCGACGGTGCCACTCGCTCTTCCTCCGCTCTGCCGCTCCACCTCAGACCTGTTCCCACTCATCCTTGCTACAGTCTACATTTGATTCGACTCCTCTTTCGTTGAGCGCTGTGGCCCAACTGCACATGGCGGAACCCCCGCCAGCCAAGCGCAAGCACTTGTCCTCACACGGCGATGTTTAGCCCTTGCGCACGCTGGACGACCGAATCTGTATTGTTTCCTGGGCCACGCTATCCCGCACTTGCTGTGAACATGACCCCCCGTGCGGAGGGACCCGGAGCATTTTCCTTCAGCGGTCGTTCTCCCATTGGGAAGAACCAGACCCAGCTCCCCGAACTGACACATGCTGGGCTCTGCTCCGAATCCGAACGCTAGAATTTGAGAACCTAACACACCGCCGCGTTGAAAGCGACGTGGCGGATGCTTCGGGAGACGCCCCCGTACTCGCCATCGCCGCCACTGATCCGCAGCCCAGGAAGAGCGCTGCCAAGACGAACGGCGTCAAGAAGCGCCCCGCGAGAAGGTGCAAGACCAGCGACGAGTTGACCGCAGACGACAGCCAGGGATCTCTGGCCATTTCCGGCGCGCGCCTCGTGCCAGTGCCCCTCTCGCCACCGCAGGCGCGCGCCCCACTCGCAGCGCGTCGGTGCCCTCTCCAGGCCTGTCCCACCGCCAAGTATCTGGTGATGGTGGCCGTGCCCCCGAACGTCCGGTGGGCGCGGCAAAATCAGCCCCACGCAGCTCGCGACTTTCGCGTGCCCCCTTCGAGTTTTATACGACGCCCATGAGCTGTACGGCCCCGCACGGCCCTACCTGCGACCTTCATGAGCCCTCCGAGCGCCGCGACCCAGCACACTTTTTGATGAGCCCCATGAGACATGCGCGCCCGCCGCCCCCTGATCCCCATGAGCCACGAGACCCTTCACTATGAGCCCATGCGTCATATGAGCCACATGCCTCCAGAGGCTCTCTGAGCCCTACGAGAAGTATGCGCCCAAAGCCCCGCGAGACCCATGGCCCCCATGGGCCTTATGAGCCCTATGGGCTTCACGCTTCCCATGGACCATATGCCCCCAGGGGCCCATGAGCCCTCGGAGCCGCATGAGGCATGCGCGCCTCAATTCCGTGGCTCCCATGAACCCCGCGACACTGAAACCCCATGAACCCTATGGGCCGAACGACACCCACGATGCGCCCTCTGGGCCCTGGGAGCATGTACGCCCAGAGCCCACGAGCCCCATGAGGCATATGCCCCCAAAGCCCCATGAACCCTATCAGCGATATGCGCCAGACAGCCTGTGAGCCCCACCCCCCCCCCGCGATGAGCCCGATGATGCCTTGCGAGCCCTATAAGCCATATGCGCCCATAGCCTCATTGGCCCCGTGAGCCCTGCGCACCATATGCGCCCACAGCCCGTTGAGCTCTGTAGGCCCGCGACCACCCCCGCAATGCACCATATGCGCCCAGAGCCCCACGGGCCCTATGCCGCGCGGGCCCGCCTCCACAGTGGGCCCCAAGAGCCGCGTGCAATCATAGCCTCATGCGTCCCATGAGCCGTTGCGCCCGCAGCCCCAGGAACCCCATGAGCCACGCGAGCCCCCGCGATGAACCCTACGATCCTGGTGAGCTACATGCGACCGCCCGCGAGCCTCATGAGCACCGTGAGCTCTAGGAACCAAGCGCGCCCGAAGCCCCATGAACACTATGAGCCACGCGAGACGCCGCAATGTGCCCTGTGAGTTCCATGAGCCATCTAAGTCATGTGCGCCCGAAACCTCGTGAGCCCTTTGAGCCGCATACGCCCAAGGCCCTTTGAGCCCTCTGAGCCACACCATCCCCGCTGTGAGTCTACGAGCTCGGCGACCCTCGAAAGGAGCCTCCCGAGAAAAAAGAGCCCCGTGAGCGCTGGGAGCCCCAGCCAGAAAGCACGCATGCGGGAGCAGCCAATACACGCCCAGCGAGGCCCATGAGCCAAGAGGCCGCAGCGCAGACGGCACCAGTGGTCGCGGTGCGCTTCTATGGCGCCACGCGATCGAAATTTTAAAGGCGAAATGAAGCGAACCTGTAATTTGTTCGATTCTAAACATTCCTATCTATACTATCTGACCCAAGGATGGCCCCCCCCTTCGTGGGCACTTTTCGGGCCTTCTTGACCTCCCGAGGAGGCTGCCAAATTGCCCTCGAGACTCCGAGGTCACCCCGAGAGGCGCCAAGACTGCCCAAGAGGCTCCCAGGTCACCCTGGGAGGGCCCAAAGAGCGTTCCGAGACGCACCAAAATGGCTTCAATGCAGGCCGAAGGCCCCCAAGACACCCCAATACAGTTCCAACAGGCCCCCCAAGAAGGCCCCAGGAGGCCAAAATCGCCCCATTCCCTTTGAGGACAACGTGCATGTTCACCATGTTCGCTTCCGTGGATCTTCCCAACGTCCGAGACAGCCCAAGAAGGTCACAAGACGGTTCCAGAGAGCCCCAAGACGGCCCGAGAGAGCCCCAAGACGGTTCAAGGAGCGTCCAAGACGGCCCAAGAGGCCCCAAAATTACCCCAAAAAAGCTCAAGAGATTGCACAAGAGGCTCCCAGGTCACCCCCGGCGGGCCCTGCGAGCGCTCCGAAAAGCCCCAAGGTGGCCTCACACAGGCCGAAGGGCCCCAAGACGCCCCCAGGCAGCTCCGACAGGCCTCCAACTTTGTCCCAGTCCCTGTGGAAGTGTATACTTTCAGCATGTTCGCTTCTGTTGATCTCCCCAACGCCCAAGTCGGCCACGGAAGGCTTCAAGACGGCTTAAGAGGGCCCCACGACGGCCCGAGAGGGCCCCAAGATTGTCCATGAGCGTCCAAGAAGGCACAAGTGGCCCTAAGTGCGCCCAAAAGGAGTCCCCAGAGACCCGAGAGAACCCATGCCTCCGAACCCTCCAGGAGGCCTCCAGGACCTCCCAGAAGGCCCCCACAATCTCATACGCCCCCTGAGATCCAAACAGGCCTCAGAGCTACCTACCACCCCCCAACATGCTTCCAAGACGGCCCAACATGGACCCAGCACGGCCACATACGGCCCCAATATGGCCCAAAGGCGTTGATCCGTAGACTACCTCAAGATACCCCGAAAGCTCCACCGACAATGCCTTCCGCTTCATCCACCCTTCTTCCTAACCTCATTCGGGCGCTCAGCAATCTGTTTGTCTTGGGAATGGAAAATTGGCTGCAGCCTGCGGGTCGGTCCGCGCTAACCCCGGCCATTCGCTCCCTCCCGAATCCCATCATCTTCTTTATTCGCACGTCCGCCATCCTGGCTCAAACTCTCTCATAAGGACACCTGCCTCATGCCCCCGAAGCGAATCACTTTGACTTGCAGGGAATGCGGCAAATGCTTGCCTCGCTCAGATTTCTCGGCGAGCCAACTGCATGTGCGAACGGATCAAGCTCGTTGCACCGAGTGCTGCTCTACTGACAATGCCCCTGTGGCATTTCTGATTTGCAGGGGCTGCAGCAGATGCTTGCCGCGCTCTTCTCTCTTCTAGCCAACTGCATTCGGGAATTCACCAAGCCCGTTGCACCGAATGCTGCTCAACAGACGATGCCCCTACACTGCTTCGACTATGCGCCACATGCGGCCAACACCGCCTGCAAGACGAATACTCCAAAGACGATTGGCGACGCAGCACCCGCAGCCGGTGCGCTGATCGTCCGGCAACCAGTCCCTTCTCCCCCCCCCGCCCCCGCCAGTATGATAGCCTGTTCGGCGAGCCCGCGCCGCGCTCGCTTGCCCGTACCGTCGTGGCCACTTTCTGTGAACCAGTGAACAGAGAAATGACCCTCACCGACTTGCTTGCTCATCTCTCGCACGCGCGCTCCCCAAGAATCCCCCCGGACACCTTCAGAGACAATCGCGGCGCCCTGAAGCGGCAGGGACGAAAACGCTTCACAAAAATACCACAAGAAATTTAGGACAGCTTCCCGGCGAATTCTTCCTGCCGCAAGTTGTGGACACCAGCCCCCCTGTACCCTCGCACGGGCGCGCCCGTCGTCCACTTGCCGGCGTGTCTTGCGGTTTCCGTCCAGTTCCCTGGCCCTGCCCACGCTTCTTGGTCCAGCACAAAGACCGCCTTCGGCCCACGCATCGCTCCCACCATGTACTATTCCAAGACTTCAAAGCGAAGCGCAGCGAGCTTCAAGTCTTGTTTATGTATGATATCACCGAGTTGGGCGCACATGTCTGGTCCATCCAAAACTCCACGGAGTCGGCGACGGGGGTAAACACAGCCCCCGGCAAACAAGATCGAATACAGGGTCCACCGAAGAACCCGTCTTCGCGGGCACAAAGGGCGTTCACATGCGCATCCGTCGCGGCGCCTTCGAGGCCGAATCCATGGCGCTCGTCGAACGGGTTCGTAGCGTCCCTGTCCTTGCGCAGGTGGCCATTTAATATTATTTCCTGCTCCTCCTCATTTGGCTCTTCCTCGTTCCTGAGTATTCCCCTCCTTCCTTTTTGGCACAGCAGTTTTCAGAGTAGCACTGTGGCGTCCAGTGCAGAACGTGCACCTCATGATGCTTGGCGCGCGGGCAGAGCATGCGAGCAAGCAAGCAAGCAAGTGGGCAGTCAAGGATTCATTATTGGAGCCGGAGGAGAAAGCTAGAACAACAAAACGCCAGAACAGGAAGAAGAGGGTAAAGGGGAGCGACATAAATTATTCGATGTGCTCAGACATGCTGCGACGCATTGTAAACTGAAGCTGCCCACTGTTGCCCCGGTCGTCCGCGGGCAGAGAAACGTGCAAAACGACAAATGACTATATGATCGACTTACGCACTCAGTCGGCAGGACTTGTGGTGTCCTGTCACGGCGCAACGCTTGCTCCCACGTCGTTTGGCATCGGGGGAGTTTGACCGGGTGGACTCCCAGCGGTCTCCTGGCTTCGGGACGTGTCCCAGGTGCTGCGCCTGGCCGAGGGCGGCCGAGTCGTGCCGAACGGCCGCCCCGGAGATTCGGGTTTGTGACCCGAGAGCCAGACGACTGAAGGGGCCCCAGGACACACACAAATAAATACACAAATCAAATGTTCCCCCATATTTTCCCATATGTTTTGAGTTTTTGTCTTCCCCCCCACTTCCCATAGTTTCCCATATTTTCTTGGGAGTGGACGATCAATTGTGTCTGTGTGTGTTTTTTCCCCTCCTGGACGACGATGTCCACTCGGGTCGGACGCAAAGGGGGGCCCGGGAACCGGGGGGCGGGTCAGGGCGCCAGAGACGGGGGCACAGCAAGCGGGGGCACGGGGAACGCCGGTTTACGCGTTTGGACGTGCCCCTGTTAGGGGGCCCCGGGCGCCGTAGACGGGGGCACAGTAAACGGGGGCAGATGGAAAAGCCTAAGCCCCCAGTGAGCTAAACTCCCGTCTGCGAAGCCCCGAGAGGGGGAGAAAACCGCTGCGTGCGGCCCTGGTGCGGCCCCATGCAGGCCCTTTCCTCGATGCTCGGCCGCCCCCGGGCGCTGGGAGTCGCCAGGACAATCGGCCACGTGAGCTGGTTCGCTCACGCCGCCCCCTTTGCTATCCCCCTTTGTCCGCCCTGGAGGGAGAGAAGAAGGAGGAGGAGGAGGAGGAGGAGGAGGAGGAGGAGGAGGAGGAGTCGCCGAGGTGACCAAGAGCGAGGCCAAGAAGTAAGGGTCCATCGAGGAGCCCTTCGTTCTTGCAGGCGCGCGGCTCCGCCAAGCCGCATCTGGTTCTTGAGATCCCCTCCCCTTTCCTTCCCCTCACCTCTCCGTCACCTCCCCTTCCTTCTTTTTCTCCAGCCAGGGTTCGTACGACGACATCCTTCGTTTCCCGCCTCTCCCGCGTCATCGTAGGGGCGCGGGCGACTCCAAGCGCCTCGCTTACGCAGCGGTATTCGGTAGCCACCGTTGTTCGCAAGTGCTGGCCTCCAAGAGGGCCCCCAGACAGCCCAAGATGGCGCCAAGACGGCCTAAGAAAGCTTCCAGAGTTCCCCAAGACGCCGATGCAGCCCAAGAAGCCCCCAGAAGCCCCCAAAAGGCTTCCGCGCTCGTCATCGCGAATAGTTCTCTGGGGAGGGTCCAAGGGCTCGGAGAGGGCCCCGAGTGCCCCAAAGCGCCGAAGGACCTCAGGACCAGTTTCCCTGGAGTTTCCCTCGGGACCCGTCTTGCTTCACGGCGGGGGGAGGTTCGGGCTCGGGTGCAGTTCCTGGGAGGTCAGATCCAGCATTGGCGCTGATAGATTCGTGGTCGACAGCTGGCCCAGTCTGGCATAATCCCGCTCCGCCCATGTTGACTCCCGCGTCACCTGGCTTCCTCCCGGGCTCAGTCCGGCTCAGTCCGGCTCAGTCCGGCTCGGTGCCCCCCTCGTCTGGCCCAATTGCCCTCCGTCGTTCTCTCGAGGGCCTCCAATAGGAGCTGCCTCCCCAAGGAGGGGCCCGCGGGGGCGCCACAAGCCGCGTGACGGGTCCCCGCGCGGAGGGCGCCAAAGCTTCACGCCCTCACAGCGAGATCCTGGCCAGGCCCCTCTTGGGCGCAGGAGTGGTGCGCGCGCCTTCCTCGCCTGGCGTAGATGCACCGATCTCTTGGGCCCAGGACTGGGCCCGGCCAGGCTCGGTATGAGGGTGCACAGCTTTGGCGCCCTCCTTCCTCTCTCCTCTTTTTGTTGTTTCTTGTCTTTCCATCTCCTCCTCCTCCTCCTCCTCCTCCTCCTCCTCCTCCTCCATCTCCTCCTCCTCCTCCGCCTCCTCCTCCTTCTCCTCGTCCTCCTCCTCCTCCTCCTCCTACTCCTCCTCCTCCTCCTCCTCCTCCTCTCCTCTCCCTCCTCCTCCTCCTCCTCCTCTCCTCCTTCCTCTCTGTCCTTCTCTCTTTCTCCTCCTCCTCCTCCCCGGCGGGGGCCGTTCTGGCGAGCGGCCCGGCCCGAGCCCGCGCGACCCCCGCCGCCCCCCCCCCCCCCGGGGAGGCGCCGAGAGGGGCCATCGCTTCACGGCGCAGGAGGTGCCGCCGCCCGAGAAGTCAAGCAGAGTCATGCGGGCCCCCCGGCGCGCGCACGGCCTCCGCGCGCGCGCCCGGCTACTGCGGGGCGGTGGCACATGGCCGAGGACCCAGACCTCCTCGAGGAGGAGGAGGAGGAGGAGGAGGAGGAGGAGGAGGAGGAGGAGGAGGAGGAGGAGGAGGAGGAGGAAGAGGAGACGGAGGAGGAGGAGAAGGAGGAGGAGGAGGAGGAGGAGGAGGGGGAGGGGGGGCGGAGGCTCCCGATCCCAGACCCCCTCGAGTCATGAAAAATCACGACGCGAGGTCTTTCGCTATTGTCGGCCTCCAGGGGCCCTTCCCGGGCCTCGGGACCGTCAAGGAACGGATCAGGATGAAAAACCGCTTGGGGTCGACGCTGTGACCAAAATCGCGACGGGAGACTTTTCGCTATTGGCGGGCCTCTGGGGGCCCTTCCCGGGCCTCGGGGCCGTCAAGAAGCGACTCAGGAGGAAGCACTGGTCCCGGGAAGGGGTCCATACCTCTGGGGGTCGACGTTGCTGAGCGAATCACGACGTCAGGGTCTGGGGAGGGCTCGAGTCAGCGGGCGAGGAAGGGGCATCGAATCAACTTGTCCGCCGTCGGGGGCGCCTGTCCCCTGGGCGGCTACAAAGTTTTCACGTCTGTCGTTGAAAGTAGGTATTGTTGGCTCCCCAGATCCCAATCTACTTTAGCCGCCTTCCTACTTCAAGAGTCGAGCGGCTTTCCCTCTTCCCTCCTCTTCAGGGGGCGGGCAGAAGCCCAATCTACTTCCAACGCCTTCCTCTTCGTGTTTCCACCCACTCCTTCCGACCGACGGGTATACCTCTACGGTGCCACGCAGGGGTATAGACTTTCCAGCCGCCCTGGGGGGAGGCGTCCCCGACGGCGGGAATGTTTATGCCATATACTGTTCTTCGCCCGCTGGTCGAGGAGCTTAGAGGACCCAGACCCCCGACGTCATGATTTTTTCAGTACGTCGCCCCCCCGAGGTCTCGACCTATTCCCTGGGACCCGTTTCTCATCCCGAGCCGTTTTGTTGACGGCCCCGAGGCCCGGCAAGGGCCCTCGGAGGCCGAACACATGGCGAAACACCTCCCGTCGTGCTTTTGTGCATGGCTCGAGGGGGTCTGGGCTCTTCGCCCGCTGATCGAGGAGCTTCGGGGATCGAGGCTCGCACGGGTTTGCCGGGGGAGGGGCCCTGCCCGTCGGCTTCCGGAGGCCCTCTTCTGCCCCGCTCAGAATCGGGCTAATGGGGTCTTTGGAAGTGGGGCCGCGCAACGTGCGCGCACAAGTTCACGCAGTAGCTGGAGCCGATCACACACGTCGCACTGTGCCCCGTGCAGTCGTCGGGGTGCAGTAGTCTGCTCGCGCGCAGGCAATCGCTGACCTCTGCGACGCAATCTGGTCCGTGGTCCTCGTTTTTCTGCGAGCAGTCGTTGGCGCACTCCGCGAGCCGCGGAGGGCGCCCCCGCAGCTCTGCGCCGTGCCGGGAGCGCTCCGCGGCGCTCTCGCCTCGTCCCGGGCGGCCGCCGTGGCGGCCCGAGCTCTGGCCCCGAGGGCGCCGGCTCTTCTCGGACCCCCATCGGGTAGTGAAAGCATCTCGGCGGGGGGGGGTTCGCCATTTTCGGCCCCTGGGGGTCCTTGCAGTCACAGTCAAGACGCCGAGAGAAGGAGCGGTTTGGGTTCGGAAGGGGCTCGATCCACGGGCGGAGAACCCAGGCCCCCATCGAGTAAGGAAAGAAATCTCGACGGGAGGTTTTTCGCCATTCTCGGCCCCTGGGGTTCCTTACCGGGCCTCGGGACCGTCAAACAACGACTCGGGATGGAAAACCGGTCCCGGGGAATAGGTCGAGACCTGAGAGGGTCGACGTTATGGAAAAAATCAAGACGTCGGGGGCCTGGGTTCTCTTCAGGGTCAGGCGAGTTCACTTGCATGGCGTTCGCCGACCCCCCCCCCCCTCGCGTGCCTTTCGACTGGCGTGACTTCCGCACGTCAAGTCATTTGCGTCCTGCTTCAGGTTCAGCCCCCTCCCGTCCATGCGAGTAAACTTGCCAGAGTCAAAACAGGATCAAGTCGGTGTCAGGGTCTATTTTCGATCCGATTCGATGCCGATTCCGCGCCCGATCCGGTTCGATTCTGATATTACGGCGGTCTGGTGAGGCCCGATGTTCGCATATGGTGCGGTTATGCATCTTGGCGCGGCCAATATCCGATTCGATCTCGACTCCGTACCGATGTAGCCTTAAGTCGGGGACGTCCCTCTACAGGAGGAATATTCAAAAATAACAAAAAATAGTCTGGGGACGATGCTTCACGATTTGTGAATGTCTGTCATCGCATTTTTTGGCTATTTAAAGTTTCAATCGTCGCTCAGAACCCGCCTGTTGAAGGACATACCCGACCCGACTGCAGCCTGCTCCAGCGCACATCCTGACGCGCTGCGATTTCCCCCATTTGGTGCCGACGGGTCTTGCCTTTCCGCCAGGGGGGTAGCAGGCCGGGCCCTGGGGGATGGCGCCGAGCCCCTGGGGGGGGACGCGAGGCTCGGAAGGCTCGGAAGCCCCCCGGCCTTCTGAGAAGTTTGTCAATCCGGAGGGGGAAAAACACACAGACAGACACAATGAATCGTCGATTCCCCCGGAAACGCGGGAACATATGGGAAGGGGGGGGAGGACAAAAGCCCAGAAGATGTTGGGACATATGGGTGATCCTGTCATTTGTGTGCATTTATCTGTGTGTCCCAGGGCCCCTTCGTTCAAGCATTCCCCCGAGAGACAGACAAAAAACCTCTCGGGAGGCGGCGGGGTCTCTGAGAAGCCCCGCCGCCTTCCGAGGAGGCCTGCTCCTTCCTGCTTCCCTCCCTCGGTCGCCGCCGATGGAGGACTGGAGTCCTGAGGGGATCGGCTTGGGGGGGGGGCCTTTGGGCTTGAGTTTGTGCACCGTTCCAGGCCTCCTCGCCCCGGGGTCCCCCCGCCCATGCCTCCAGGGAGGGGCCCATCTCTCTAAGTATGGTGCGGAGCGTGGTCCCCCGCTCTCCTGGGCGAGCGGTGGGGCAGCGTTCGCTGCTTCTGCTTTATTGTTGTTCCTCCTCTCCCTCTCCCTCTCTCTCTCTCTCTTTCTCTCTCTCTCTCTCCCTCTTTTGTTCTCTCTCTCTCTCTCCATCTCTCCCTCTCTCTCTCTCTCTCCCTCTGCCTTTCATTCCTCTTTCTCTTTTGTTTCCTCGCTCTCGCTCTCTCACAATTTGTTGTAAAATCTATCTCTCGCTCTCGCTCTCTTGATTTGGGGCCCTCGTTGCCACGGCTGGATTCGACTCGGGTGCCTGGTCGGATCGCACTCGCGATGGGGCTATGGGTGGAGGAGTTGACAGACGAGCGTGGAGGAGGAGGAGGAGGAGGAGGAGGAGGAGGAGGAGGAGGAGGAGGAGGAGAAGGAGGAGGAGGAGGAGGAGGAGGAGGGGGAGAACGGAGACATGGAGACAGAGAGAGAGAGAGAAACAACAACACAAGCACAACAAACATAACAATCGAGAAAGGGAAAGAGGAGGCCTCTGGAGGCAGAAACGGGGGAGACCAGGCGGGTACGTCGAGATGCCCCCCTGCCCCACCCATTCCTTTCCCTCCCTGCCCTGTGCTGCCCCCCCCCCGTCCTCCCCTGCTCGTTCT